TAGTTTAGGTAATAAAGTGTTCTTTATGTTTAAGTTGGAGCCTGTTTTGCTTATTCCTGGTCACATCTCACAGCAGACACCAGGGTGAGGGCATTTTCATGGGGGGCACTGGCTCTGTGCCAGGCTCAAACCATGACACAAATGAAGGTGACAGAAATCATAACTCAAGTTCTTTATGCTTGGCTTGTGGAGAATGATTGTTCAAAGTGGAAAGTCAAAGCCATTTGGCTTTTGGCAGAATCAAGAACATGGAAAGGACTTTGTTTGTTATGCCCATTATGATATTGAGAAATATATGCTATCTCCACAATTGCATCGGGTGATTCAACAAGAGCTGAAATGAACAATAAGGATGTCATTTTGCATTATCTGGATCTGCAGGAAATGTCATATTTAAGGGTCTGGGTGTTTTCTAAGTATGAAATAGGAGAAGGTATACTCCTGTAACACTTTTCAAGGGATGACTTATACACTACATTTCTCTTGTTTCAATGATGATTTCCCATTTATATCTGCATTATATTTGAGCTATACAGCCACTGTAATTTATTAATTTTATAAATATGTACATTTATCTATGTATCTGCCCAGATATAAAAATATATCTTTCTATCTAGAAGTGTCTCTCTGATAGATAGCCACAGCATTTACAGGATGGCATGCAAACATGTCTATCTTGAGGCAGGCTGAACTATACACATTTTCTCAAATATTCAGATTAAACATCAGAAACCTTGTAGTCTGGAATCTATGGGAACATTCAGTATTTCAGGCTTATGTGAAGTTGTGGTGACACCAGATCACCAAAACTTTCACTTACAATTTTTTACTTTACTTTTCATTTGAAATGATTTACCAAAAATATTCAGCACTTTTTAACAATAGGTGTAACAGGCTGGTTTTATTGTTATTAAAAATTGTTCACATTATCTAGTGCAAATACAAACAGTGACACTAAAGCTAGATTGGCCTTCTTATATCTTACCCTCATTTTTGCAGGGGACTAGGCATTTCTTACCTAAGGAAGTTGTTAAACAATTCTATATTTTTCAGTGTAATAGGAGACCAGTAATGCTGGCTGATAGCATCATTCTAAGGGCTGCTGAACCAAGCTATTCAAACATCCATTCACAGTGGTTGATATCAAAAATGCAATGTTTCAGCTCTATTTGTAATAATTAGTAAACTTTCTGCAATCTTTTTCCTTGGTCTAAATCTTGTTTTCCAATTTTGCACTTTCACGAGCATTTAATACTGGTCCTCATTTTTCTTCCAGGCAATTGAGAGCAACAGTGGGAAATTCGCTTTAAGATTTGCTCTTAAAATCTTGCACCTCTTTTTCTTGGGTCTAGAAGAGTCCCAGTGTAGGCTAGGTTACCATACTGGAGTTCAATAGGGACCTGAGGAAAAAAAAGTAATTTTATAGAAAACAGTGTTGTATGAAGTAGCACAGGGGTGAGTTAGTGAGCATCATACTGACCAATATACTGAGCAATGCTCATCCCAGAAGAGCTCCCTTAGGCTCACTTAGTCCCTGCAGATTAGTGAAGCATAGCAGGTGTGGTAGGTGCTATACCCTAACCTGTGGTAGCATTTTACCATGATTTGAAGGACTAGATTATTTCCTGAATTGATCAGAAAAGGCTTTTTTTATCCCCTGAGATGCTTTTGTGCAACTTATGGTTATAAGCTACCCTCCTCACAAGGGGAGGTTCGTTCCCACCTGCAGCTCCGAGTGCGGTTCTGTAGCTTCGCGTGTTCTCTGCAAGGCACGAAGGGCATGAAAATGTTGGGGTCCAGAGACAAAAGTGATCAGAGGGCTGGAGCACCTCCCCTGTGCTGACAGGGTGAGGAAGTCAGGGCTGCTCAGCCTGCAGAGGAGAAGCTTGAGTGGAGACTTCATGGCAATCTTCCAGTGTCTGAAGGCAGCCTACAGCGAAGCCTGAGAGGGACTCTCATCAGGAACTGCAGTCATGGGACAAGGACTAATGGCTACAAACTGAAAGAGGGGAAATTTAGGCTACATATTAGAAAGAAATTCTTTACTGGGGGGATGCTAAGATACTGGAAAAGGTTGCCCAGGGAGGTTGTGGATAACCCAACCCTGGCAGTGTTTAAGGCCTGGTTGGATAAGGCCTTGAACAACTTGGCCAAGTGGAATGTATCTCTGCCCATGGCAAGGGGATTCTGAGTAGATTATATTTAAGGTTCCTCCCAACCCTTAACTTTCTATGTTTCTATGACCTAGATGGAAGAGATTTTCCTCCTTGAGAAAATATTCATGCTATTGTTCTTCTGTGATTAGTGCCAGACCTCTCAATTTGACTTCTTAAGTACCAACAGCTTTCATATGTGATACTGGGCAAAAAAAATTCAGTGAGAAACCAGAGGAGTTTTCATGTTCCTAAGTGGGCAATTATTTTAAGCATTCTGGAAAGTGCTTTCACCTTTTCCCTTTCATTTGCTCTAACTGATTTTGTGACTTTCGTTCTCCTAGTGATGACCAGAGGCAAAAGCAGACAACAGAAGATTCTCATGTCAGGCAGAGCAGGTTCTACTGATCACAGAAGAGAGATATAATTAAAGCCTTATCACTATAATTGTGCTGCTATTTGCGACACAGGAGAGATTCTTCAACACAGAAAGATTTGTGCAGTCCGTTTGTCTAAGTTCAATACTCAACAAATACTCAACTGTGCATCTGCAAGCAATTTTCACAGCAAGTGTTGATGTCAATTGAAATATGAATGCACCAATCAATAAACTAGCAAAGTCTTGTTGCCAACAGAGAGAAATTTCCAGCTTGAAGGAAGAGAAAAATTAAAAATTCTAGGTTATCTGATCCTGAAATTATTTTTATAACTTGCTTGTGATGTTGTAATTTAGGTTATCATTTTCTGATGAATTATGAGAGAGTTCCCACTCTCTCAAGTTTGAGCTTCAAATGAATTCTTGAATTTAAGTAAACCTGCAACTAGTTTTAAGTCTTCTTTGAATTTTACAGGTTTACTACAGTAATGTATTTCACACTGGTTTTAGTCAGCAAGTTCAGAACCTGGAATAGTCAAAAGTTTCTGGTTTGGAGTGGTGGCTTTTGGAGTTTAACTTGCTCACCTTATAAAACTTGCATATTACGTCTGTTTAATACATTGTTCTAGTTTCCATGACTACGTGTAATAAATGTTTGTATACCTCAGCAGTGTCTACATCCAGTTAAAACCCCTTTACTTAAATTTGCTTCCTGCTGCACTTGGCACTATAAATTGAAATCAGGAACAATTATGATTTTAAAGGAAACAGATATTCCATATTCACACTTTTGAACCTGTTTTTTCAAAATCCCAGGGGGTTAGAGTAGCACATACACAGTTAGAGTATCCACAATTATTTCAGTTATTTATGAAGCAGCTGGTGGGAGGGCTGATGGCTGATTTGTGCCCACAAATGCATCTCAGGTGAGATTCAGTATCTGGCTTGGTAGTGTTAATTGTGCTAAAGTACAGATTCCTGTCAACCTGGAGCAAAAAAGGTTTTAAAAGTTCTACTTCACATCTAATTATTTTTCCTGGAAATAGCACAAGTAATGGATACAAATTGAGACTGACTCTAAGGACAATCTTCTTTGCAAGGGCAGTGAAGTACTAGAGAAAGGCTGCCCACAGGAATGTGGGCTCTTCATCCCTGGTGGTTTTCAGGAGTTAGCTAAACAGTCATGGCTGACCTGATCTGGTGGTGGCAACACACAACTACAACGGGAAGGAATACACACAGACCATCAAATCCTCTTCAAAGCAATATTTTAAAGACTTTTTGGTTTTCAAACTTAAGACAGTCTATTGTATGCATTGGATGCTGTAAGTTTAATATTCCAGTACTCTCCCACATGCCTGTATCCATGCACATAAGTATGTGTACACATGTTAAAATTGCCTGTAGAAATACAACCTGTACTTTTAAGAACACTGGCTATGCATGCATTTTTATTCAAACCTCTGCAGACACGTAGGTCCCAAAACAGGACTTCTAAATATCCGCTTGACGTATGTGTGTGTATTAATTTTGCTCAAATTGTGGTTGTGGCCTCCTCTGGGGTTTGCGAGATGAGTCAGGGAAGGGAGGATTGCAAAACACAGAGTGCAGCTGTCAGCAGCAGCTCAGGTCCTCCAGGGTGGAGGCATGAGCATAACCAGCTGCTGCACACATTTTAGCTGGTCCTTCCTCTACTGCCCAGAAGGAACTAAACATCTGCTGGCTCAGGCGATGGCACAGAGTTAAGATAAGATAGAAGGGTGACACATTTTCTAGGGTTTTGAGAGGTGCTGATGCTATCTGTCTCTTGAAATGCAAGACCTTTAAGTTTAATGTTAGATGCATTGGATATATTTATCAGCACTGGATTCCAAGCCTCCTTCCATGAGGGCAGGATGGTTTTGACAAGAAGAGTAGATTGTGAGTAGTAAGGAATGCCCAAAAAGGAGCAGCTCATTTAAGCAGCACCAATAAAGCTTGGGGTATCTGGAATGCCATGAGAAGGGGAGTAAGCCTCTGTGGAACAAGACAAATCTTCCATTAACTGAATTTTGCTGAGCTGGGTTGATGCCAATTTGTAGAGCACATTTTGATGGGAAGAAATCAACATTTTAAATGAAGAGTTGGTTTTGCTGAAAGTTTTCAGGTACTACAATGCCACTTGCAGATAAATTAACCTTTGGACCACTTGTTCTTTAGTCAAAATCAAATACTTCTGAAAGTTTGATAAAGTCTACTTTAGAAAGCACAAAGAACAGACAGAATTCTGCTTTAAGAATTTCTACTTTCAGAAATATTTACTAGTCTCAAAAGATACTTTTTATAAAATTTACAGTAAAAGAAACAATAACATTTAGCACACTTACGAGCCACCATATTTATGGTCACAGTGTCTGCTTAAGGACAAGTTTTGGACTTTTCTTATGCAGAACTCTTCCACCTGCCAAGTAAACAGAAGTGCAATGCAGCATAAATTTTTTCAAACAATTTCTAGCATTTATTCTTGTACCTAAACTGTAACACTGGACAGAAATATATGGTAAATATATTTGTAAAATTCAGAATTTACTTCCATTGTTCTAAATACTATTTGTTCCCATCTCTAATTCCTTCCTCACAAATCCTTCTGTTTCCTGTGCTCTACTCTCAGCCAAGACATCCCTTGCAAAAGTGAAGCTTGGCCTCTCTGGTGCACACCAAATCACACACCTTTTTGTTCACCTCTCCCTGATCCCTGTTATGTCTGGCTCACTGCCCAGAGCCTGCTCTTTCCCAGAGCTCACTTTTCCAATACATCTCACCTACCTCAGCTGGTTTTTGGCAGGAGGGGGACAGTGGGAACAGACAGCTGGCAAATAGCAGCTCCCAGCAGATGCACAGTGCAGGGAAGGAAGGAAATTCTGTAGCAAATGGTGCAGATGGAGCCTGACCTTATTGTGTTCACATGGCCCTGCCATTCAATGAAAAAATCCTTCCCTTAGTCCTGAGCAGCTCTTTCTGTGGTTGCTGTAGACCCAAGGCCAGTCAACATCTCATTGCACAGCTGAACAGTAAAATTTGCTTTCTTCAATGTAAGGCTTGCCACAGGTTTTGTATGTCATGAGAAAAAATAACTTCTGCATGTGCGAGGAAGCCACTCTTAGAAATAGTAAAATAATGTGAAATTGCTAAGATTTACTTTAACAAATTAGGTAGGAAAGCATTTCTGATGAAATGCCTGAACATCTCTTTTTTGTTTGTTTTGGTTGTTTCATTAACACTAATAGTCCATTTTTTAATTAGCACTAATTTTTTAATTGCACTAATTTTTAATTAACCTTATTGCCACAGATGCTGACAAGCAAGGCACACAAGAGTATACAACAAATTGTGATAACAAGTAAAAAACCATCCAAAATCTATCTTTAAAAAACATATTGCATCTTCACAAAATTCCCTTTAAGACAATTTATTAAATTATATCTTCTATTCAGTCAGCCTACAACTTCCTGTTTACTTGGAATTGCAGTGTGTGATTTATTTCAAGTCTTGGGTTTGTTTTCTTTTCTGTTTCTTTTTTTCCAAATTATTTCAATTACTTGTAAAAGCTGATACAGAAGTTCATTCCAAGACTGAAGTTAATGAAGGCAGCAGATCTTGATTCCTTACAAAATTAGAAAGCTGTGACCATGGAAACAAAAAGAGAAGTAAAACCTGAGATTCTGTTTTTCTTCTCTGCTGTATGATGTGATGAGAAATAATCAGTTTAGTGATATCTGAGGACAAATATTTTGTTGTAGCAATTCCAAGACATGAGGTGCCAGGAAACAAGCATCAGACAAGCTCCAAAAGATGACACACACTGAAAAGTAACACCTGCCACTTCCCCAGCTTATGTGTCTTGGAGTGCAGCCTTCCAGCAAGCAGCCGTAAGCCATCTATCTGTAGGTTTGTAACTATTGCTTCAGCAGAAAACACAAAATTGGTTTTGGTACTGGCTCATGGAAATATGTCATGATAGTTCTTTATGCCACAAGTTAATGCATTACCACAACTTGTTAATGTTGCTATTGTCCCAAGCTAGGTTTGGGACTTCATCTCCCTCACACAGCTACTTACATGTTATTTAGTGAGATCTAGAAGGTGCCAGCACATTTTGTGATGATATGTCAGCAAGCCTGACCTGGGCTGGTTTTTTTTCACCAACTATGTTTTTATGTTCACAGATTCTTTCATTTTCTATTGAGAACTATGGGCACATACTAGTTTCCTGTCTCTAAAGAACATTATATTTACAGTACATATTTTTTAAAAAGTTGTTTAAAGAAACATCATCTTAACAGGATAACTCCTCTCGCTCGCTTCCCTCCAACATGACTCTCAAAAGCCTTATAGCCTTTCTTACTCTTTATTTGGAAACATTGGCCTCTCATCCTTCTACTTTTCCCCAGAGAACACAGACTTTCTTTCCCTACTCTTTTTTTAATAGGTTGGTTTTTCTGTATTGCTTCTGGAGCAGTCTCCTGTCTCTGTTGCCAAAGATAGAAGTCAGCCTCCTCATCTTTAAACCCATGAAAGTTTATATCTATTTGGTAAAGTTGGAGGAATGGTTTAACAGATGAAGTCACAGCCATAAAAGATGAGTCACACAGAGGTAAAATACAGCCCCCACCACCCCCCTATATACCCATGCACACTGGTCATGAACAGAGCAGTTACTAAAAATTAAGCCTCATCACCTACTGCAGGTATGGCTTTGCTCTCCAAACTTTCAGTTCTTCTGAGCTGGGATGGCAGAAACAAACAGCCCAAACATGATTTTGATCAGTAACTCAGACTCCACAAGACAGCAACACAGCTACTGTTTTTTCTATTTTTTCAGCTAGTCCACCCAGTCCACCCATTCATTCCCTCTTTCCTTTCATCAGTTGTCTTGGTACCTGCTATATAAGCAACTCTGCCTGTTTCAAATACAGAGCCCATTTATCCAGCTCTACTCTATGAATGCCACTCCAGCGATTTTTTGAAGCCTGACTGACTTTACCTCAGAATAACGGAACAACTTGATGATGAAGTAGAAGTCCAGCAAATGGTCAGCACAAGAACAGAAGTAATGTCTTCTCTGGTTTAAAAATCTTTTTTTTTTAGCTTGAGCTACCTTGGAAAAATGTCTGTACTTGATCCTAGTCTAAAAAAATCCCTAAAACTGAATCTAGAACTGACAAGACAACAGAAATATCTTCTAAGAACACAGGAAAAATCTCTGTCTGTGCCATGTCAGTGATTAATTTCCTTTGCATAGACTTCAATATTTGTCATCCCCCCCACTCCATTCTTAAAGGGCTCACCTGTTTGATATCTTTGGGATATCTTCTACATTAAGTCATTTAATAGAAATTACCCAAACACTTCTTCACACTGTTTGAACATATTTAATTTCTATCCTTGGAGGGTCATTACCTTGCAGTGTCAGTGATATTTGGAGAGGGCTAAACAGCACACCTCCCTAAGTGGAAGCAGCATTGTATGTTAGGGTACTGCAAGGCTCCCCTCGGGCTAATTAACCCTGATTCAGGAGCACCACAGTGTGCTAATAGCTGTGCTGCTGATGAGGTGCCCAAGTAAGCCATACAGAGCTAGGTTATGAACCTGCGCTCTCTAGACAAATCTGTAGCATAATTTTTCACTCACACTCCAAAGAAAACTTTTTAGAAGTCTAGGATTGTGAAGTCCTTGGCTTTCCTTTAAAATTCTTTCTGACAATTCCTCCGGTTAGTCATATATCTTCATATTTAATAGCTACAATTAATTAATAATTTATCCTGTTCTTTAACTGTGATCCATACAACTAGTTTAGCTTTGGCTAAAAAGTATGTTTACTCCAGTCAATACTTTCCTCATTATTCTGTAAAAGCAACTCACATGGTAAAATAAAGAGTAACTTCTGTACAGCATTGAAACATCTTTCTTTTGAAAGAGTTGTTAAAGTATTTAAACTTGTTTCTTTGCCTGAGGGCACGAAGAAGTCTTTCTGGTAAAAGAGCTTTATTTCTCCTAGTTTATTGTTTTTTCAGCTTGCATCTGGTAACACCTCAATTCTTTTCTTTTCTTTCCTTCTTCCTATGGAGGAAAAAATCCTATATCTACCCCTTTATTTTCCCTTATATGGTGAAAATTGCTGTAATGTTTTAGCAATGTCTTTACAAACAAAGACATTGCCACCTTTTGGAACCTTGATAGTCTCTTTCAGATGTTTCCTGCTTTCCTATAATAAAAATGACTTGATGTGTTTTTGATTCCTGTGCAGTCTTGTTTTCTGTTAGCACCACCTGGTTTACAGCTACACCACCATGTCATTCCTGAAGTGACAGTCTGCTTGGGCTGTCTGGTGGGGCTGAAGTACAAACAGACCACACACACAGAGTACCAAAGGATAAATACACTGCAAACTTAACTCTGACTACTCAGGAAAGTCCAGTCAGAGCACAGTTTTTGCCTTTTTTTTCTTTTTTAAAATCTTGTTAGCTTTTTAAAATTCATCACGAATTATTAATCCTTTTCTCCCCCAGTTGCTTGAAATGGGTCTTCTCTAACTTCATTTCTTGTCCTGGACAATTTTGCTGCTTTTAAAGTTCTCTTTCATCTATATTTCCCCACCCTTGAACAAAATTAACAGTGTTAAGTTAGAGGCTAACAGTATTAAGTTAGAGATTTGCTTAGCTGTGACTATCTGCTGTGGTCTTGGTTTATTGGGATACTCTTGATCAAAGTCCATATTTTAGCTTTCCTGATGACTTCACTAATATCCCACTATCTATCTAACTGTTTAGCAACAAGTCATCATGTTATCGGCTTGAATGACAGTTATTTCCTAGTTTCATAAGTTTTTTATGATGGGACTCTGTCTTTCAGTTTTCAGTCTGCTGTTTTTCCACATTTTCTTTGCCACTTATAAAAACATTGTCTGGATGAAGCTGTTTCTTTGGCAGACAAAGAATAGAGCATTACAGTGTAAGGAGTGATGTGTTTCGGTTATTCAAAAATTCAGCCAAGCCAAATTTACCAATCATCATAATGCATAGCAAAACTTGCTTAAGAATAGCAGAAGCATATGCAATTAATTAAGTGATCTTTCCCAAGGTATCCAACCTGCTTCTGACAGTCAGCTTATGGATTTCCTGAGCCAGAGGTTCCATCTAGTAGACAAGACTCTTCTGCAAGGATTTGTCTGATTCTTTTTAGAACTCTTGCAAGCGTTTGGCTTTCAGAGCATCCTGTGGCAATGAGTTCCACTATGCATGCATGTGTTGTCTAGAAACAACATGGTGTGGGGAAAATTCCTTTTTGTGTGTGTTTTAAACCCAATCACTTAACTGGGTATGCTCTCATTCCCAAATTGCTACACATTTTGAATTACAGTTCCAAGTTTTTCTTCCCTTTGCCATATATGATATTTGAACT